TGAAGAATAACTATTGTTCGATAAAAGAAACAAGAAACTACTAGTACTATCCATTTCAAATTAAAAGAGACGGTCAGTGTTGATCTGATATCTCGATAACGATACTAGATAGAAACCTGCGTTTTTTTTTGTTCGATAGCCCTATATGGGGCAAGTAAATTGTGTGCTAGCAACGAAAATTTTCGAACGTATCTGCATGGAGATTGAGGACTTTTTTCGAAAAAAATCAAACACTGAGAGTGTTGAATAGGTAGATGTTGATCCTTAATTATTGAAAAAGGTAGGCTAGACTGCTGTCTTCATTGAAAAAAGAAATCGCGCCTTTCTACGATGTTCTATTAGAAAACGCCGGCATCTCTCCTGAAATCCCCAAAAAGCCTTATTTTGCTCTCGGGAACGTGAAATATTTCATCCAGCAAGCATTTCAGATAATTATTTCTGACTTTTCAAGCATGAGAGTTTCGTTAGGGATATTCTTAGCTATTTCATTCCTCAAAATGATATCGATTCAGATAGCCCATTTATCCCACTGTGATCTATCATTGGCTATTTTTCAGCAAATCAATCATTTGGTTTTATTTTTCCAAATTAAATATCATCTTCGCTACTAGAGTCCATCGAAAACTCTTCTTCATTCTTGGCATCGGTATCGATAATTTCAGAATCGATCGCTTCTTCCACATATATATCGGCTTCTCGAAATGTCATTTCCGCCTTGCAAGCATGAGCAATAAAGACTGTGCAATCCTCTAGTACTGCGATGTACTCTTGGAAAAGAGTGCTGATATCGGCCAGCCGAAATGAGATGTTGTTTTCGCGAACGTAGCTTTTCAATTATGACCAGCATAGTTCGATTGGATTCAGTACGCAATGCTTGATTGGAAGACGGACGATCTGAACGTTGAATTCTGCAGCTGCAACATTGGTGAGGTCCTTTTTGGGTGGAAGATATTGTAACTCCAGCTCGAGTAGTTCAGCATGTGTGAATGCTGCGTCAAATGTAATCCCTCTATTATTGAGCCAACCCTGAAGTGTCGACTTTCACCAAGATCGTTTCGATGGTATTGGATTGTTTGTCAATTTGTTATGCAAAGTCGCATTGTCAATCACCATCGCTAATCCGAGCTCGTGACCCGTGTTTCAAGCGGAATTGCGAAGCAGTGAGCGAGAACCATTCAACAAAATAGCTTGAATTCTAGATCGTTTGTCAAGTAAATCGTTTTCAATTGCAAAGGAAGTATCTTTAACTCATAATTTTATGATCAACGTCGCATGTGAACATATCTACACTCTTCTTATGAAAAAATTTCTTCGTTGATCATTGCCAAGATCGCCAACCGCTTTGCCTGGTCATCGCTCTTCCGGAGTCGCCCTTATCCTGCCTCATCAACCCAAATTGAGCACTTCTCTTCCCAAAAATTGCACCATGTTTCATCATGATAATAAATGAATGTCTGATCCCATCGAAGATCATTAAGACGATGAAAATAGGCTGCTGGCTGAGCAACGAACGATATTGAGTCGAGTGGCAAAGTCACTTTGTTCATTTGCTTGTAACCAAAACCGAGTCGTTCCATCTGTCGCCGAAAGGTCGATTCAGATTTGATCAGAAAAACGGGATGCCCCATCAAAAGGCTTGTCAGAATATTGCGGACAGTTGGGTATCATCGCTCAGCCTTTGAAATGAAGTGCATAGAATGAAATAAGTATCATTGCCTATTCTTACCAGGATCAAATGGAAATAATAACGAATAGCATCTTCGTCAGCTTCACTGAGAACAACTCGTCACCGTCCGACATTACTTTCCTTCTTTGGTGCGATGGGCATGGAAACATAGGCAGAGGAGGCGGCTAAAGCGAGTTTTCTCGCAAATCAAGTCCTTTTTTGTTTTTTGAAAGCCAGTGGGAGTGGACGCAGAGAGAGACTGGGCTCGAGTACGAATTGTGCTGGCTTTCGAAGTCATCTCCTCATCTTGGCTGCTGTTATCCATTCTCTGTTCTCGTCGAAGTTCTTCCAACTCCTTTTTCAATCTGTGAACAGAGCTGTAGCTGATTCCCAAGAGAGCCATCATTTGAGCGCTTGTGCTTGTCAGAGGTATTTGCAGATCATCTCTCCAAATTCGACCACTCGAAACATGAGCTTCTTTTGTTCGGCAGAGAATTTTTCACCTTTAGGCGTATTGACACGAAAAATTCCAAATGATTGAGAGAATAATAATTTGAAGAAATTGTGTGAAGTTGATTCTTTCAGAAATATTATTGCTTCTATTGGGTAATAGCCAAAGATAATTGTATCTGGTATATTCACATGCTTTACTGTAGAAAATCAGTGACTATATATAGGTTTTGAAATATCAGAGTATATTACAGAAAAATGTCTAAGAGAGAAGAGAGAGAGAGAGAGAGAGAGTACAGATAACAGAATAGAAGAATACCTGATGTCATGGAAGAGTGCATATGACGTAATGAAAGTACATGACGCCATAGAAGAATAAGAAAATCACAACATAGAGAAGAACGCGCAAAAGTGATAGATGACATCAGCTGATTCTAATACTTCTGAACAATCTTTCTATCACATAATCCAGCTTCAATAAATATCAGGGTAAAAGACTTTACTGAAAAATAGCCAATGATAGGTCACAGTGGGATAAATGGGCTATCTGAATTGATATCATTTTGAGGAATGAAATAGCTAAGAATATCTCTAACGAAACTCTCATGCTTGAAAAGTCAGAAATAATTATCTGAAATGCTTGCTGGATGAAATATTTCACGTTCCCGAGAGCAAAATAAGGCTTTTTGGGGATTTCAGGAGGGATGCCGGCGTTTTCTAATAGAACATCGTAGAAAGGCGCGATTTCTTTTTTCAATGAAGACAGCAGTCTAGCCTACCTTTTTCAATAATTAAGGATCAACATCTANTGAAAAAAAAAATTTCTTTAATTCAGTAACTCTGTAATAGTAAGGTGTTTAGAGTCGAATGATGTCTCTAATTGCACATAACACTTGAGGCTATCATACCTTATGCCCAACTCAAAATCGAGTTTTTGATCAAAAAAGAGGGGGGGGGGGTACCCTTAAAAGAAACAGCTTAAATTAGAAAGTTATGAAATTTTGATCCCGAAAAAGAATCTTCTAGAACTCATATACAACTCTATTCAAAATAGAAAAGACAAAAATTTTTAAATGAATGATGAAAATTCATTTAGTTATATCGTTCGTTCTCGTTTTCATTTAAGATATAGTTGAAGATCAGAAGCATCAAGTGCAGGAACGTAAATATGGGGGCCACGGGGGCACTAGGGGAGCCAGGTGGACATATGCGAAAACATTCTTTTTCAGAGTCTAACCATTTGGGTAGATACGTACATACGTGATCTATCATTTCCTAAAATAGCGGTTCTCAAAGTTTTATAGAGTGCTAGAAAAGAGTCTGACGAGGCTTGGGCCAAGAAATCGGCATCAATGGAAAAAGTCAAGCCGCTCGGCAATATAACACAATATTCCACAAGCAAACAATATCTAAAAAAACTTGCTCACCTATGTACTGTATGGTAAAACAAAATTATCGTAATCCAATTAAAAACAAAGTAGAAAACAAAGGATCTCGAGCTTCAAAACCTATCTGAAGACGTACCGTTCCGTATATTGTAAACGCTACAAAGGAATAATGTCCGATCGAGCGCGCATATTTTACTTCATGCTCATACATATGTATCCTACTTATGGTAGATGCGAAAACACATGACACCTGTCCTAGGCTATTTTACAGGATACTCGAAAACCCAAGATTTCTGGTCGGAAATTCGGATTTAGGGACTCGTGTTACACTTTAAAGAAAAACAAAGGTGATATTCGGAATTCGCTCGTCAAACTGCATCGAACCATATATATATTCAACAGTTTTTCAAGAAATTTTCGGCTCAATTTGACGGGTAATCGTGCCCAAAACCAATTTGACGATATCTATCTTTTCAAGCAAAATTTCGTAAAATAAAAGAAAAAATGTTCTTTTTCTTCTTATCTTGTATCTTCTACAAGTGTCTTATCTGGTTTTTTATTTGCGACTGCTAAATATTCAAGAATACATTCAACATCAATGTCAAATCCCATATCTATGATAAGAAAAGACTAATCAATGTATAACATTTGAAAACATACAGAATTTATACTTTTCCGACTTTAATTCCTTCCTCTTCAATTTGTTATGCTAATTCACAAGTTGATGCTACAATAAATGCATTTGGTTCATTACCAGAATCAAGAGATCTTCAAAGAAATTTCTTTTACTCATTTCATTAACAAGACAATTATCATACCTATCAACCATTGATAATGATCGAATTCAAGCAAGTAAAGGTATAAGAGTGAAAAATGTTTGGTATATTATTTTTATTTTCCAAGGATAATCGATCATCAGAAAAACGATTTGTGTTATTTATTTTTGCATTTAGAACAGAAATTTGTTCTTCTTTTTACTTGTGCTATTTTTCTGTTGTTTGTCTTATTGCTTTTCACATTCGTCTTCCCTTTTTTAATTACTATTTTAAACATTGATTTAACTAGTAAATAAGTCTGTTGTATGTATCCACTAAAGTTACAAAATGATCAATTCACTCTTGTTAGGCAAATCAATGAATCATTACCTATTATTCTTTACATCTGGAATTTAAATTTTCATGTGGACAAAATATTTAAAAAACTGCACTATTTAGAATATTCATACACGTATTCCAGCCATTCGAATTTCGAGAAAGGCTTTGAAACTTGCTAGAACAGTATAAGTCTTGTTTTTAATATTATTCAGTACCTTTTCCCATTGTCGTTCCTTCTCTCGTTACAAGGGAAAACGTGATCACTAGTCTCTGACATTTAAATGTGGTCGCCAACGTCTAAGAGGCAAGTCGCAAAAACCTCAATTAAACTTTTTTTCCCTTTAGAAAATTAAAATGACCTTATAAACCAGCAGTTTTAGTAACATCAAGAATGTTATTTTTTTAAAGTTCAGCTTCATCCCATGATCGTAATGGACGTGGAATATTTCCATCAATGACATTCATCATAACAATGTTTTTCATCTTTTTCTCGATCAGATTGGAGATGAGCTCTGAAAAATAATAAATAAATAAAAAGTATTCTTTGTTTTTTTATATCGATAATTTACGTTGTTCGATCTTTTTTTTGTTTTGTTTATTAATATCAATACTAGGTATATGATCACAACCGAAAATTGTATTTGATGTTTTTATTTATAGATTGGATTATAATCAATGAAAGAAAAAAATACATATTTTACTTTAGCAATGCCAAGACATCGTTTCTTGACAGCTGCTTCTTCACATTCTCCACCAGCATCTAATAAAAAGTCGAAGAAAAAAAATGGTCGATCTGTTTGATCATCTTTTGCAGTTATTTGTTCAGCTTCTTTATTGAATGAAGTATATTTTTATACGCAATTCTTCATTATGTTGACGAATAGCTTCAGTTTCTATTTGTCGTCGGAATGCCACAGCTTCACGTTCTTCTTAAGTTACAAATGCGGGCTGAAGAAAAAAGGTCGATTAATGCATAAAAATATTTTCTAGTCATCGATGCATCATATCTAATAATTATCGACATAGACATTATTCAATACTGAACTAAAGATATGTATTGCTTAGTGCTGCCACTGATGAGAAAAAAAACGATAAATAATGAGGAAGCTACCTAAATGTGCTCTTAGAGACCGATGATTTCGTAAAAAAAATGGAACCGAAAAACGTTTACTACTAACAGGAAGGCTGATCAAGTATTACATAAACTAAGGGAAGTCAAAAATAATTAAAAGTGTTCTTAAGACCCCTGAAAAAATCTACTATCGCCAAAAAATTACTTTTTCAGAAAGTATATGACTAAATAGTTCAATATTTACTTTCATAATCATTATGACTTTAAATCATGTCTTTGTTAAAAACGAGCTTTTTGTCATTAAAGATGATTTTTCGCCTGAAGAATCAATTTTTTCCAAAAGAAAAAAACGTTACAGCTGTTGTTTGATCACGCTTTTCCGATGGTATTCTATTAGAGAGCTGATACTTCCAAAAAATGACCTTCGTCAAAGAAAAAACTATTTTTCTTTGAATAAAATTTTATCTGAGTTTGGTTTTTTTCATAAGATCTCTCAGTCTTATAGAGGACTTTTTGACTTAATAAATGTCTGAAGACTAGATCAGCCGAGTTGGCTGAACAATATCATTCGATATGTGATAAATGGCAAAAAACGTATTATCACTATAGTAAAGTTGTTCTAGCTCTAACTAACAACGAGATGTGAAGTTAGAACTTCTGTTCTTGTGTAACTACGTACCCAAAATTATTACAAAAGATTTCAGCTCAGTATAATGCTTTATTAACGAAAAGATTATGCTCATGAAAATTAGTCAAGATTTTCTCATGCTTTCTCTTTGTTGCTATATCTTTTGACATTGTTTTTCAAAAATAATAAACATAACAATCTCGAAAAGACTTTCAAAGATACTTTTTAGGAACCAAAATTGGGACCGTTTGTTTTTCGCTTTTACTAATCGAAGCCGGAATCTAACTAACGATTCCGATTTCGTATATTTTTTGAAATCGCTGGGCTCTAGTGTTCATGAATGTCTAAAGTCGAGTTAAAATCGTTTCAATGAATCTTCGATTCTTTTTTAAATCTACTTTGGTCGAAAAACAAGATCTCGAAAGATAAAAATGCCGACTTATATAAATATTGAGGATGTGGATGTGGGTGCAAAGAAAACTCCAAGCACCTTATCTATATCGATGCGTACATCTTACATTTCGACAATCTTACTTTCAATATCTCTTTTATTCGAAATTCGCATCGCGACTTTTCTACATTTCGACATTACTGGAGTAAATCTCTATGACAAGCGAGTTTTTATTGGAAATTCAATATTTCTGTCGACAAATAAACATTCTTTACTGCTTAAACTTTCAGAATATTTCCAAAATCATTAGATAATATCTATTGACTGAATTTCAGGTTGAACTGAAACTCATGACCGCAAACCCTGTTAAAATTTTTCTAGCGCTACCGAGACTTGCTTATGGGTTCAATATGAATTTCAATGATGGATTATAGTTCAGGGTAATGATCTCGTAAGATTAAAGATGATTCTATTATTTGGTTAAATTATCTATACGCGAATAATAACACAAGTAATAGATAATCGAATGAATCCAGCAATTATTACTTATTTTATTTCGCCACTGACTTATTGAGTCTTGTTTTCTTTTTTGTACATGTTTTATGATATCTCATTATAGTGATATTTTGTAGTTAATTGTGCAAGTACTGAAATATTAGGTGATGTGTTGAATTTAGAAATCACTTCTTGTTCTTCGTTTTTTAATTTTAATTTTTCATTATTTCTTCTAATGAAAGTGGTACATATTTTTTTTTGTATTTGTACTGTTAGTTTCACTATTATTTGTCGTTGTTATTATTGTTGACTCTCTTTCTTCAATATCATCATAAACCAGTGAAACCACATACTCAGGTGATTTCGATCGTTTAGATGATGAATGTTAATGGTTCTTTCTTTATTTGTATTTCTAAGTCGTTTTAATTTATGAACTTGACCATATAAAACTGTATGTAATATTTTATTTGAAAGATCTTCTCTAGAATTTTGTTCAATAAGATCATATGGTGAAAATGCTTGATCAATCCATGAATGATTATCATTTTGTTTTCTTTTTGACTAAAAGAATAATAAGAAAGAAGAAACAAACAAGAACCAAATGTTTTTGTTTTGTTTAATCAGAACCTAAAAAGAACAATATTTAAATCTGATCTTTGTTTGTCTTCTTTCTCACCAAAATATTTTTGATCAAAATTATTCGATGCAACTGTATTCATTTCTGAAATAACAATTGTCTTAGCAAGATAAAATTCACCAAAATGTTTAATTCCATCAGATGAAGAAAATAATATCATTAAAATTATATTTGATTGTTTATATTGATATTCTTTAATTATTATTTCAAGACCAGTATGAACTATTGAACCTGTTGCTATGACTAGATAAGCAACATTAGATAGTCACTTAGCATGTGTAACATAACCTCAATTGATTAAAATTTTTCCAATTCTTATAGGTCTATCAAATTACGAAATGTAACAAAAAAATTAAGAAATTGAAATCTATGAAATCCATCGCAATTAAACTATAACTCATATGTCCGGCAATATATGTCAACCAATCAGTATGGATAAGCGTGCAATATGAGTTGATGTTTTAATCTCGATTAGGATTTTATTTATCTAATGCTATTAGTATAACTTTGACAGAAAAGAAATTTTAGTGAATTGTATTAGAGTGAAAGAACCTCTGAATATGCAGGAATTTCTAAAGGGTTAATGCATATTTGAGAAAGTTATTCAACTTTCTTCAGATTAAATGCCGATGATGTCTAGATGAAATTCATTTTTACACATTCGCTTGAAAGAATACAACTCCTAGTTTAGTGTTCGATTAGGCAGGGAGATTTATTCTATTATGAAAATATATCGAGTGTGTGCAGAACCCGTTTGATCTTAAATTTTCGGATCCAGACACAGTTGAGCCGTACTTTTATATTCTCAATGCACATTTTTTAGACGCCTAGATTACGTTGAGTTCAAATTTCTCGGACACAGACCCTAGACGTGTGTCTCAGTGAAGTCAGGAGTCTCATCCACAACCACAACTTTACATGAGTTTTGACCTTTTTTTTTGTTTCACTTGCATCATTGTAAACTAGCTAAAGTTTTTATTTTAAATTTACTTTACCAGTCAAAGAGAAATTACAACAACTATCTTATAGCTCTAGTCATCAATGCTAATATATAAGTTTCTTGACACAACTCAATCCAAAAGATATACGTAAAGATATATCTTCGATTTGAGCAAAAAAATGTTATTTAGTTGAATGTGCAACTAACGAAACTTGAAATAACAATGCCGAACAGGAATTGCCAGAGTATAAATTTACAGATATCTTGTTAAACCTATCTAGTTTTTCATCGGAAGTAGTGAGATGAAGTATCTTATGTCATTTTAGGTCACTCGACATCAAGCTTCAAAAGTACTTTTTATACTTTTCTAACATTTTTGTTATTGTATGTTGAAAAAATTGAGCTTTTCATAGTTAAAAAACTATACTTATTCTTCTGAAAGAGTATGACTTCATCGAATGAGAGACATATTATCGAGAAAATAGTTACCTTAAACTATAGAAACTTCTCTTTTGTAGAAGCACGCTCGATTACTAAAAATGACTGTAATGAGTACTGACATGTCCTTTTATGTAGAAAAATCTTTCCTGTTTCTGCTGAGATCTTTTCCGACTCAACGTGATGAATAGAGACAGCGAAAATCTCAGAATATTGTCACAATGTGAAAAAGTCTGTTTAATGAAGAATGGTGATCTTCGGTATTTTTAATATGTAGATAAAAAAAAATTGATATTCTGTATTAATAAGGTTTTCGATATGATCTTTCATTTAAACTACAAAAAATTTTAATGTCGACACAATTTGGTAATAGTCAGGAGGACCTTCTCTTAAAAGACATCTTTATTTTTTGTTTTTTTTCTATATGTGATTGCAAAAATTTCTGTAAATTATTAAAATCATATGAGCATCATACTTTGTCAAAGTAGACTTCAAAACTTAATTTATATTTCGATGCTCTTACTGAATAACAATTCTTGCGTGATAGGCATATTTATCCCTTAATTACAAGTCATTTTTCATTAGATGATAATTTGTCTGAAAGTTCACTCTGAATATTTGCGTGAGATCAAAAGATTTTCATATACGTGATAAAGAATAATCTTCACTGAAAAATTAGTCAAGCAAAGGATCAAAATTCAACAAGAGTACTGTTTTGATCTAAAACCAGAAAAAGAGTACATTTTCATGCTTCATAAAATATTTCATGTCATAATTTTTGTTATAGAAAACTTCAGTATATTCAATTACAGTCAAGTGATGTTTTATTTTTCAATTCTTAACAAAGTTCAAGAATGAAACGATTAGAAGAAAAGGAATAATTGTATTGTCGATATAAGTATTTGTTTATTCTAATTCATAGACAAGACTATTACAAGATTTTTATATGTTACAATAAAAAAAGATAAAATTTTATACAACATTTATTATCATAAAAATACTTGATAAGACTAATGAGAGTTGGAGAGACATTATTGATTATCTAATCGAATAAAATTGAACAGGACGAATAAATCTCGTTAATAAAAATAAAGTTTTTTTCGCTTGTATTTTGAAAAGAACGATGCATCTTATGATAAATTGAAACTGAAATACCACAATAATTAACAGTATTGCTTTCGTTCTAGCAAAAGATGAGATATTTTATTACTATGATATATATACATATATCGTATATGAACTGCTTTCTTTCATATTCAAAAAAGTACTGTTCTATATCGAAGGCAAATAAAATTTATGTGCCTATTTTGTATCATTAATAAACAAAATAAACTCCGTTTAGTTAATTAAAATATTAATTATTCTTTTTTCTCTCAATCTTACAATACAACAATGATAAATCACATATTTGACATCTATATAACATGACATTCATTAAAATCAACAAATTTTTTTTTTTGTCGATTGTCGATCTGTTTATTTAGTCTATTCGTACACATATAAATTCTTACTGATCAATTATCGATCATGTCAACGATAGAAGAAAGAGTGATTATGTTATTTATACAGTAGTCGATACGAGGGCGATTAGTTTTGGAGTAATAGTTAAAGTGTTCAATACAGTATTGGATGCACGCTTGTTTGTTTGATGTATTTGTTTGCTCATCTCACTACGTAATTTTCTTTTTTTTTTTCTCTTAACACAAGAACGCATAAGAAAAAAATAATAAGTGAACTAATGTTGTTTGCCGAGTTTATTAAAAATTTATTACGTCAGACATTATTGTTCTATTCATATAATTAAAAAAGGTAACTTCTGATGTACTCTAAATATATATATTAATAAGATATATTTATCTTAATTTTTAAATAATTATAACCATTTACATTTTGTTAAGAAGAAGAAAAAGTAACAAATATAAAAAAAAACGGCTTGAAAAAAAGAAAGAGAAGAGAGAAAGCACAACGAAAGAAATTATTATTTTTTAAGCTTAACACAAGACAAGATTGAAAACAAGAAACAAACAAATCAACGTCAGTGACTTAAAAAAACAAAACATTGTGAGTGTTTTTGTGTATGAATATACATTTGATTTTTACTTGACAACTAAACTTTTCAATACTTTACATAGAGAAAGAAAAACAACAGCATCAGTTTTATAATATTGGTATGATTTGAAATAGTAAGTAAAAGCCAACAACAAAAAAACATCGTCAAATATATTCAGATGACTTTCTCGGTCATGTAATACTAATCAAATAATATCTATATTCGAGTTTATCCTTTTGTCTTAAATAGTATTTTAGATTTACGAGTGTTCTTTGAAATAGATGTTTGATTTCTTGTTTTTTTTGATCCATTTCATCGTTCGATGTTCATTTCTTACCATACGAACTAAATTGATCATGAATAATGAATGTAACAAGGGGCTCAACAGTAAGAATCATGAGCACGAACGATCGAATGAAAAAAGAAAAAAAGTGAAAATCAACACTTTACGACGGTGACTACCCGCATTTGTTGTTTCATCGTCATCTTCTTTTGCTGCTACTTGCTGTGCTTGTTTGATGGCGATGAATTTTAACATGTGAGAAGTCATTCAACCTATAGTCGGCATCGTTCGCCGTTACTGTTTCTTTTTTGCTTTATTCTTTCTTGCTCTTTCAATGATTTCAAGCATACACATATACAAACATACCTGTCACGTAGTCACGTAAAAGTCTTCCACTAATAATAATAATAAAATATGACACAACCTTCATTACCGCCCATTTATCGCTATTATGTCTAACATCAATGATTATCATTTTAAATAGTAACAATAATATTTTTAAAGAATTAAACAAAAATCAGGTACGAATAAACGATGTCGTTAAGAGTAATAAAAAAGAAAAAGAATAATAGAAATGATAATAATTCAACAAAGAACTAAAAATAAATAGTTAAACGATTTTCTTTTAATGTGAAAGGTAGATTTCATATAAAAGTTGAAATCCGACTGATGTCGAGAAAAAAGAATTCATTTATGAATTGAGTCGTTTTATTCAATTGTGTTGTACACATTGATTTTAGACATTTCGATGAATATTGTGTATTTTTATGCAAAATTCATCACAAATAGCAAAAAAAAAAAGAACCGACGAGAAATTGTTATTTGCACACGTCTGCATTTATTTGCTTTTGTTCATGCATATCTTAAACTTGATTATTTTCTATTTCGATATTAGAATAAAATAGATTTTCTTTTTAAGGCATTATTCAATTAATTTTCATCTTCAATCTATAAATATGGTTCATGACATAAATACTACAGCAACACCAGATAAAGCATCTACAATAGGTACTGGTGATATATCATTGGATGAAAAACGTAAAAAAGTTGGAAATTATATTATTTTAAAAACACTTGGAGAAGGCAGTTTTGCTAAAGTACGATTAGGTATTCATTTAATTACTGAAATGAAAGTAAGTACAGATATGGTTTTTTTGTGGTGTTTAATAATTTTAATTATAAAAAAGTATTTTCTTTATGCAATGCACGTTTTCTATCACTATGAGATTACTAAAATAAAATATTTCAATGGACAGGATTTTTTTTTGCTTTAGGTTGCTGTTAAAGTTATTAATAAACGTGAAGTATTTAAACGAAATTATTTACGAGCTAATTTACGTCGTGAAGCATCAATGATGCAACGTATGGCACATTCCAATATAGTTCAATTACATGAAGTTATGGAAACAGAAAATTCCTATTATATTGTTATGGATTTAGTTCAAGGAA